TATATATATATATATATATATATATATATATATATATATATATATTTAAGACAGGTCTTGCAAAGTTGCTGAGGCTGATGATATATTTGAGATCCTCCTGCCTCAGCCTCCAGAGTCATTGGGATTACAGCTTCTATGATATTCTTAAGCCACAGTGTGCATTTTCTGGGATTCTCTGACCTCTTAAAAAGTATGTGAAGAATTGCATACATGAAAGTTTATTCATTGGGCTATGAAGTTAGTTCTGTGAGTTTTGACAAATGCATGGTTCATATAGCCAACATTAAAGCAGTATACAAAAGAATTTCAGCAACTTCAAACTTCTCTCACCACCACCACTACCAACACCAATAACCCCTGGAAACCAGTGAACTTTTTTTCATTTTCTCTATAGTTTTACCTTTTCCAGAATGTTATGGTAAATAAAATCCTACATTTTAGGATAGCTTTTCACTTAGAAATATGCAATTAAGGATAATTTTTGTCTTTGCATTACATGATGGCATCCTTTTTTTTGCTAAATAGTATTCCCTGGATGCACAACTGCTTGGTTTTCCATTTGTCTACTGAATGGCCCTCTTAATAGCAATTAACTTGTTGCAATTATAAACATTCATATATAGGTTTTTGTGTGGACAAGTTTCAAAACTATTGAATAAAGATATAAAAATATGATTGCTAGATTGTATGATAAGATTATATTTAACTTGTAAGAAATTATCAAACTGTTTTTCAAAGTAGCTGTACCATTTTTTAGTTCTACAGTAATTACTGCGTTACTGTTCATTGTTCCACATTCTTGATGGAATTATTATTGAATGTTCTTGTGTGTGTGTGTGTGTGTGTGTGCACGTGTGTATTTTGGACATTCAAATAGGTGTATAGTGGTATCTCGTTACTATTTTAATTAGCATTTCCATAATGAAAAATGATGTTGATAATTTATATGAATATCTAGATATCTTCTTTAGTCCATGCTTCCTTATAACACAGTATTTTCTTAGGAAGGGTGAAATATGGCTGACTAGATTTCATGCTTTTTCATACTCACATTCTGGCCCTAATTTATCCTGATTGATATTTTCATAATGCTCCAAATTTCTGTCTCGCATTTATATATAATACCTTGGATTGCTTCTAAGGGCCTAATCATTCTCTAACTATAAATTTTTGTTAGTTTAAAATCTCAGAGGATAATCTTATTTCTAAATTTTTAATGTGAGAAAAAAAAGGCAACTTCATTGTTGCTTCATAAAAGTCATATACTAGGTAGTTTTTTTCTTTCTTTAAAAATATTATTCTATTTAGCTCTAGCCATACTTCAAATATTTTAGAACTGCTTGACCTACTTCATAGGTCTCCATTTATTATCCTGATATTTTCTTTTAAGTTTTTGTTTAGTTCAGTGGTTCCCAAACTTTGGTGTATATCAGAATCTCAGCCAAAAAAGAACACAGTGGCCCAGGCTCATTAAATTAGGATAGGGCTTGGGTCTTTGTGTTTTTTTCAAGATCCCCAGGCGTTTTTGATACCAACCAAAGTTTGAGAACCACCAGGTTGGTGTTTGGAGAAAAGGTGAGAGTGAGGCAGTTCTTTCCAGCTGAGGGCCAATCTAACCCTGAATAGAAAACACAATCTGCCTGTCTAGACACTCACAATAGCTTCATAGGCTGTGCTGCGGTCTTGCTAAGTTCCCAACCTAATACTTTGCTGTGGTTTGTATGCAAGATTTTTGTCTAGAGCTGAAACTGAACATCAGTAGAATATTTTTACAGTGCGAGATCTATTTAAAAATTGGTTTATTCTGTAGAGTTCACCAAAGGAACAATTTTTAAACCATTTGGACATGTCATGCCAGGTGAAAGTAAAATTGTTAAAAGATATGCCCCAGAATTAGCATTTTAAGAAATACACTATTACATACAGGCCACATAGTCCAAACATTCTTGCATGTTATTGGTTCACTATTCTTCTATACAATAAAAACCAAAAGGCAGTTATTTATGTATTTTTTCATAACAACAAAACATTAACCTAAATTGAGAAGACTGGATTTAATAGTACAATATTCTTCAAAACCAAAAAGCTATTATTTTTTTCTTTCTTTCTTTTTTTTTTTTGTGTGTGTAAATGGTTGTGTCAATTTTTTCTCTTCTCTCATTTTTCTACTGGTGCACTTTAATTGTACACAATGATGGGATTTTTTGTTACATATATATACATGCATGCAATGTAACAATATAATTTGGCCACTATCACTCCCCAGCATTTATCCCCTCTATCCCTACTTCCAACCCCTGGTCATTTTCCTCTACTGATCTCCTTTAGATTTTTTTTTTAAAGAGAGAGAATTTTAATATTTATTTTTAGTTTTCGGCAGACACAACATCTTTGTTTGTATGTGGTGCTGAGGATCGAACCTGGGTGCACGCATGCCAGGCGAGTGTGCTACCACTTGAGCCACATCCCCAGCCCTCCCTTAGATTTTCCTGAGATTCCCTAGCCCCATCCCCCACCACCTTTCTTTTCCTTTTTCTTCTCTAGCTTCTCCATATGAGAGAAAACATGACTATTGACCTTCTGAGTTTGGCTTATTTCAACAGCAACTATTTCTTAGATAGCTTTTCTTTAAAAACTCAAGTCTTTATTTGCTTTTGTCTTAAGCTGTAGCTAATATTCAAAATAACTTAAGAGGACACAGTTTTATTCCAAAGAAAAACTTTATCACATCAAAATCTTTGCATATTCATAAGATTCCACCTCCAGGTTAAGACATGAGATCTTTTTCTTGCAAACTATTACATCAATAGAAATGTATAAACACACATCAAGAAAAATGTGAATAAGGATATTAAATAAAAAAGTGTTCACCCACCAGTGCATAGTTTAATATCAGGTAGAGAGTATGCTTGCTTGATTGCAAAGTAAATTTTAAAGGGAAATAATTGTGCTCATTGTTAATGTAACTATTTAATCACCATTATTACCAACAATTGCTAATACTGATGAGTGTACTTCTGAGCAATTGTTTGAATTTGCTAGAAAATACAACTTTTTCTTGGAAATATATTTAAATTTTACCTGAGGGTCTATTTTTTTAAATCAAAATAACACACCAAGACATGGGTGAAAGCCTGTTTTCAAATGTCTCTCCAAACTCAGTTGTAATCCAGAAATAAGTATTTTCCTGTGAAAATACAAAATATCAAATGTTTGTGCCACCTGTGTCAGAAACTAGATAATGCTATTCATTTTACCACTAATAAATGGCCATCTTATAAGATAGTTCTTTATAGTTTTGCTGTGAGAATAATTTTATAACACTATCAGGCAAACAAAATTTTTCATCCTTTTAAGAATTTTAAATTCCTCCTTTTCATCTTATTTTCAGCATATTTAGATATAATTATACTTTGTCCTCAATCTATATCAGATCACATTAGTCCTTCCTTCAAGTTAAAAGGGTTCTTATTCTTTGTATTTAACACTGATCTTGGAAAGCAAGAAATACATGAAAATCACCAAAAAATCTTTAATGGCTTTAGTTTGTTAATCACTGAAAAATATTTTTATTTGCCCCCCACCCCTCACTGAAGCACTAACTTTTACATATGGCAGGAGTAAATCATTTTGAACATCTGTAGAACACAAATTCTAATGAGGGAAAACCATGTTAATCACTTTTTTTTTCAAATTTGCATCATAAATTTTATTCCTGATGAGGGAAAAATTCCTTCTATCCCCCAAATGAATTACATGCTGCCCTGGTGAGACTAAGGAAACTCTCCCACTATGTCCAGGGAAGGAGGGAGAAAGACAGGTGCTGGGGACAGGGAAGGCTTTGAAATTCCCCAACCTCTTTCCCTTCTCAACAGAGGATAGCTGCTCTTTGCTATTATTCCTCTCATCCACTAAATCCCTTTAGGAAAAAAAGCCATCACTTTTTAAAAAAAACAAAACACCTCAAGTATTGGGGGTCATAAGGTTATGGGGAACCAATAGAAAAGGGGGGGAAAAGGAACAGTGGTAATCACTGTTTCTGCTGTAGGGCTTCCTTCCTTGCTGCATCCTGTAGGAACTGTGTGTTCACTTCGTCAGCTGGCAACTGCATAAAATGGACCACTGAGTCAAGGATGAAGCAGTTCTTCACTGATAACATGTGAGGATATTTCTCAGGGTCTGTAACACTGATGTCAGTTAGTTTGATGTTGAGATACTGATCCACAGAATGGAGGGTTCCACAGATGCTCAGGTCATTCTTGAGTTCCATGACCACATCCTTGCCCCCAAAGAACTTAAAAAAGGAGTAGAAGAGCATGGTGCTGGCGCTGCATACTACTAGCTATACTAAAAAGGGAAGGTAAATCACTTTTTATGTATAATACCTATAATTATTAACTTACTGATTAGGAACAAAAGATGTACCCCATAGTTATGTGAAAAAGTTGATTTTCTTAAACATAATCATGCTATTTCATTCAGACAGTTTGAGATGAGGCTATCACAGTTTCCAGGAACTAAGCCTGCCTGAAATTGTAGCTGGTTTAAGAAAATAGACAGCCTACTGCAGTTTGCAAAAATCCTGACTTTTGAAGCCCAGGTCATTATTTTTTGGTGTCTAGACTTAGAGCTTCTTTAACCTCACAATTTAACCTCAGGGCTCCTACACCCAAAGAAACCAGTTTCAGGGTAAGCAAAGTATTTTGGTTGTGTTTTCATCAGAATTGAGCATTGGTAGGTGGGAATGCCATGCCTCAGCCTTGGAATATATTGGAGTGGGCAGAGAGCACTTCTGCACAGCTTTGGAAGGCAACTGCCATCCAGTTGTTAACTCACTCCCTAGTCTTCTAACACACTACATTAACTTCATTCTTTACACAGGTTTCTTGTGAAACAATGGAATGATTTTCAATTTTGTTTCTGACCTAGAAGACCCTTGGTGTTCCTGTTCCTAGGTCCCACATAAGCTACTTTTCCCCATTCATGCACGGCAGGTACAAGTTCATTGTTCACATCTATCAACTAGTCATATTGAAAAGGACTTTACATTTTCTTTAGTTCACATCTAGAACACTCCTGTCAATTTTAAGTTCTCATATTGATGCTAAGACTTTAATACATACAGGCCATGAGTGAGAAAATAGACTACATTTAACTTAATTAAATTCTTATTGTCATTCTCAAATACCAATTTTAAAGGATTTGAATGTACCTGAACTGTAAATATTTTTAAATAAAATAACCGATTCAAGTGATATATGAAGAAGAAAATATCCAAGCCTCTCATGTGTATTTCAAAAGAAATAAAATCCTCTAATGAGAGTTATTGTTGAAATTGTATTAATGTTTAGTAGTTAAGCTAAGTCATAACACACTGCAGGTCTTTCTTGTACGTCCTACATTTCTCAGCAAGAATCCACTTTTTGCTCAACAACTTTATTCTTCATTCACAAAAGAAAAATAGTTTCACTATTGATAAGTAAATTAAAAGTTAGCTTTAGAGGAACAGTAACCATTTCACAAGTGAAATGAAGAGAGTAATTTTCTTACCTAGGTGTCAAAATAGGAGTCCCAAATCTGTCATTTACTTGCTGAAAATGCATAAAGTTACTTTATGAATATTCATATATAAGATTATTACAACTCTAAAAACTAAGTTCTTTACCTCCAAAATTTGAAAAATGCTTATTTGGGCCTAGCACCATATATAAGAGATTTTTTTGGTACTTTAGTGCCAGAAGAATGACTAGTTGAAGATGGAAAATGATTCCTACAAAGGGTGTGTGTGTGTGTGTGTGTGTGTGTGTGTAAACTTGTTACATTTAAAGAAAATGCTATTGACATTGATTATTATCCTCACCTGCAAGTACAACTTAAAAGGCTATATCATTTTTTATTGGTTCTTTTTAGTTAACATAACATTAGGATTCATTTTGACATAATTATAAAAGCATAGAATATAATTTGCTCTAATTTAATCCCCTTTCCTCACCTTCTCCTTCCCTCTGTTTTCTTCCCTCTACTCTTCTGCTTTTTACTTATAGAATTTGTTAAGTTAGTGTCTTGTAGATATACATGATGGTGAAATTCACTGTGATATATTCATTTATGTACATAGGAAAGTTATGTCAGATTCATTCCACTGTTCTTCCTTTATCCCATAGTCTCTCCCTCCCCTTCAATCCCCTTCATCTAGTCCATCAGTCTTTCTCCTACTTTGATGAAATCCATTCCCTGTCATTTCTCTTTCTCCCCCACCCTCTATCAACCCTCTTATTGCTTTCACATATCAAAGAAAACATTTAAACTTGGACTTTTGTGGTCTGATTTATTTCACTTAGCATGATAGTCTCCAGTTCCATCCATTTACCAGCAAATGCTATAACTTCATTCTTCTTTATGGCCAAGTAGTATTCAGCCATAAAGAAGAATGAAGTTATGGCATTTGCTGGTATATGGATGGAACTGAGACTATCATGCTAAGTGAAATAAATATTACATATATAAATGTGATATATATGTATATATCTCATTTTCTTTATACATTCATCTGTTAAAGTCACCTAGGTTGGTTCCATAGCTTGGCTATTGTGAATTGTGCTGCTATAAACACTGATGTAACTGTATCCCTATAGTATACTGATTTTAGATTTTTTTGAATATGTACCAAGGAGTGTGACTGCTGGTGATATGGTAGTTCCATTTCTACTTTACAGAATGGTTGCACTAATTTGCAGTCCCACCAGCAATGTATGAGTGAACCTTTTGCCCTACATACTCTCCAATACTTATTATTGATTGTATTATTAATAATTGCCATTCTGATGGGACTGAAACTAAATCTCAACGTGGTTCTGATTTGTATTCCCCTAATTGCTAGAGATGTTGAAATTTTTTCATGTATTTGTTGGACATTTGTATTTCTTCCATTGAAAAGCTTCTGTTTAGTTCCTTTGTCCATTTATTAGTTGGGCTATTTGCTTATTTTGATGTTAAACTTTTGAGTTTTTTATATATTCTGGTTATTGATGCCCTATCTAAGGAGTAGGTAGGAAAGATCGCTCATTCTGTAGGCTGTCTTCAAGTCTTAATTGTTTCTTATGCTGTGCAGAAGCCTTTTTAATTTATTGATTTTTGGTTTTATTTCTTATGCTTTAGGACTCTTGCTAAGAAAGTTGGTTCCTCCAACATGTTGGAGTGTTGAGCCTACATTTTTTCTAGCAGGTGCAGAATTTTGGTCTAATTCCTATGTCTCTGATCTAGTTTGAGTTGACTTTTGTGTAGGGTGAGAGACACATTCTTCTATATATGATTTCCAGTTTTCCCAGAACCATTTGTTAAAAGGCTATCAAAAAGACTATATCATAATCAATAGCCTATATAGAAAAATGGATGCCTGAAGTTTGGTTGTGGCTACAGCTCTTTTATAAATCCTGTTGGTGTTTGTATTGGTCTCTCTTCTTTGTCTTGTACATCATCATCATCTTCATCCTAAAGTTGGTTTCTCTTGACCTGGCAAAATGACCATAGAGAGAGGGGGCTGACTTTTAGAAAACTGAGAAACCTTTTTTCCGAATGTCCCTCAAAATATTAGTGTTGCATTGGTTTGAATTAATAAAAAACAAAAGTCCTTATAATACTTTACTTCTTCCAAAATTCTCTTCAAACTGCTGTTTTAATTGTGTGTTAGCTGGAAATAGTTCCTTTTCTTCATTTACATAACACTGAAACTTGTCTATAAAAAGTATACTCAGTATATATTAATATTGGTTCATCAATTGTAATAAATGTACCATGCCAAATAAAGATGTTAATAACAGAAAAACAGTGTGAGGAGGGGAAGGATCATATTTCCTGTGCAATGCTTCTACAAACATTAAATTGCTCCTAAAAATGAAGTCTACTCATAATCCTTTGGCCAGTTGCCCTTTTATTCTGAACACAGTGCCATTCCAGAATTGTGTTTTCCATGTCTCTTTTGGAATTAATTTATTCATAGCTGACTTTTCCACCCCTCTTTTTGACAGCAGTATATGTATCATGACACTTCCTATGTAATGGTACCAAATATCTTCCCAAGACATGCAATACAGAGTAAAACTGTATAACTTCCTCATACTCATGACCAATATTATATAGGTGTATTTCTCAATAAAACTGACAAACACACAATTGAATAATGAATGTGTTCAAGTTATCCCATTTCTGACATCTTGATTATAATGATTGGTCAAAAATTAAATACCTTTGAAAATAATGGAATAAGAATATATCCAAAATGTTTGTAAGTAATTATTTATTATTTGTTTTGGCTTTGCATACTCAAAAGAATGTGGCTTTTATATTTATTTTTAGTTGTAATGCTTCTGATTAAATAAAAGAATATCAATATCCTGGTATATAAATATCGGTAGCTGAGAGCAAACAAAGGCTTCTGGGTGCTAGGTAGTGCAGAGCCAATACAGTTATCATAAATTTCACTTCTAACAAAAGACATCAGGGTTAACAAAATTGTTTAATTTGCTTAGGCAGGATGAACCCTGTGCCTCTGCAAATTATTTCATGAGCTTTACACTGAATAATGCTCTAGAGAGATACTTTTTTCTCCATTTATACCCAAGTAGGAGTTAGCGTCTAGTTTATTTCAAGTACATAATATATGTGAAAAAGTGCTTGCAAATTAGAGGAATTATTGTAACACAAGTCTGCCTTAAGACATACAGGCTCTCAAGTTAAATAGGAATTACATTCTTTAGCTAACAGATTTATGGAATGTAATGAAATTTTGCTACTGGGTAGTAAGAATAGACTGCACAGTCTGTTTCAATGGAGAATCAGAAAAAAGTAAGTAGGAGAGAGTGTTGAGAAAGAACAATGAAGGAGGAGTTAAAAACCCTGTATGACCTTGAACCGCTTGACTTCTCTGAAACTTTAGTTCTTTTATTTGTCAAATAGTATTTCTAGGCCCTATTATTATTGGGATCAAATTATATAATAGATGTGAAGGTGTTTTATGCTTTTCAAAGAACTAATTAATCTGAAATATTATTTTATAAGATGCATGGGGGCTGTCCTATCAAGGCACATGAAATAGAGTAAGAGGAATATTCTGGGATATATAATATAAATGGTGTTAATGAAGAAAACCTTTGCTAAAGATCTCTATATACTCAACCAGTTCTGGGAACTGGTTAGGGGAAAGTATATATAGTTCAGTTTCTCTACTCACTGCAGTTCACATGTGAATTACCCAAATCTGGCAAAAATATCATTGCTAGAATGCCATCCAATACTTGTATTTAAATGACAAATGAAGTC